CCACCAGGGGGCGGGGCTGGCTGGCATGTGGTGCTGGGGGATTGAACCGCGGTCCCTGTGCTTTGCTAAGCTTGCTCTAAGTAGGTGCTTTAGACCACTGAGCCATCTCACCAGCCCCCCCTTTTTTTTTTTTAATTTTATTTATGTAGTAATTCTTACTCAATATTTTAGTCACTATCGTAGCCAGTAAATTTAATTCTATAGAAACCCTGAAAGAAGTTTTGGAACATTTCGTTACAAGGGAAAAGTTGAAGTGTAACTTTGTCTACATTCTTAATTTTATTTCAACTTTTCATATAAAAATTCAATATAGAAAATTTTCCTTTTTGGATATATGTAGTAAAAGAAAGTTTAGCTTATTTACATCAACTTGGTTGCCTTCAGACTAAGCTATTGTCAGCCCTGCATAGGTTCTCCATCTGCAGATTAGCCAATCCTAGATCAAAATATTTAGAAAAATAAAGCCTGTCTCTACTGAAGATGAGCAAGCATTTTTTCTTGTCAGTATCCCCTAACCAATATAGTATAGCAAGTATAGAGCATATATATTGTATTGGATACTACAAGTAGTGTAGAAATGAACTAAACTGCAGAGTTGTGAATACTTTACATTCTAGAGAGGGGACTTAAGTACCCGTAGATTTTGCCATGTGTGAGGTGGTCCCAGAACCAGTGCCCCATGGATAACAGCATGTAATGTTGCTCAATATGTGTGGGAATGGGAAAGATCCTGCGTGTTTATGGTGCAGACATGTTTTCTGTCTGACACCAGCTTAAAGAAGAGAGACGAGCTTCATGAGCCCACAGAAGGGTTGAGAAGGAAAAGATGCAGCTATAGGGAAGGAAATAACACCAGGAATAAATGGAGGATCATGCATTCAGTGGATGTTCTAGAGCGCCTCTGACATGCTTGATATGGTTAAATGGCCCTGGGATGTACAATTAGTAGTATAGTATCAGCCCTGAGGAGCTCACATACTAGTGGAAAAGGTACAACAGAATGGTACCTGCATGCATAAGTTGAAATCCTGTTCCTTGAAAAAGTAAAGTGGTCTTGAACTGTGAAGAAGCATTGTTTTTAAAGTTGTTGCTTAGAACTGTCATGAATCTTGATAGCAGGCTCAAAGAAAATTTGAACCTAATAACATTCTACCTTTGTTTAGGCCAGTGGTGGCGAACCTATGCCCTACATGTTACTGTGTTTGGTTACTATATGAATTATTTTTTGTAAACTAAAGCCTCAGTAATCAGGTTTAATTGGAGTGTTAGATTATTGCAAAGTGGCATAGTCTCTAAAAGGCTTGCCATCATTGCCTTAGGGTAATCTTTTGAGTATGGTGAAGCTTCTCAGATCACTCCAAGTACCTCCCTGTACAGAGCCTCCATGAGATTTTTTTAAAATGGGAGTGATTGCCCATATAGAATGATAATATGAAAGACTAGGAAATTATTCCGGTAGCAATTACAGAAAAAAAAAAAAATCTGTTATTTGTCAATATAACTTAGGGGTATTTTTGTGTGTGTTTCCCCCCTCTTTTCAGAACCCCCACCTCTGGCCAGTCAACACCCATTTGCTCCTCAAAGAGTGGGAAGAAAAGAAGGAAGCACTTCTCACAGCTGAAAATGTTGCTTAGTCAGAGTGAATCCCAAAAGGATTCAAAGGTGGACTTTAGAAATTTCTTATCTTCACTGTGAAAATGAGACTACTGTAATTTTTTTTCTTAAAGTTTTATTTATTATTTGAATAAATGGAAACAGTACAAGAACAAGCTTTTCTTAGTGTCTTTCAGTGCTTATGGGGAAAATCTGTCAGAATGAGTAACTGACTTTACTGCGTGCTTGTGTGGATTGAAACATGAAAGGCGCTTCTCTTTAGTTTTTAGTACTTTTTGTTATTTGTCACTTTCAAAGGGGAACTGAAAACTTGTATGTGAAGGATGTGTTCACTCATGAAGATTTCTTCATATGTATGTAGCTTTAGTCCTAACTCAGAAAAGGAGCCAAGAAAACAGCATTGTCTCCTCACCATCATGTGCGTAACTATGTCAGTAAAATGGAAGCATTACAGTGGTGCCTCAGTTCACAAACTCAGATTTCTCAACTGTTCTGGTCACTAACTAGCTAGACAAGAACAGAATCAAATTTCTCCATGAGGTCAACATTGATCCTGGCTGGGCAGATGGCTCAGTGGATTAAGGTGCCTGCTTAGGCAGACTTAGGGGCTGCGTGGTCGATCCCCTGACCTGCTGTGCCAGCCCTGCCCCTGAGGCACACTGAGACTGCAGTTGAGACTGGGCATGGTGGCCCAAGCCTGTAATCCCAGTTTTTGGGAGGCTATAAGTAGGAAAGACCCTGTAGACCCTGTCCTAAAAAAAACAAAACCCCCAATGATCCTAACCTATGAATTTGATGCAGTTCTTCTCCAACTCTGCAACCACAATCATGGAAAGAATCAAGCTCATAAACCAAGGTACCATTGTGTTCCTATTTTGGATACAAAAGTAAACATCAGGCGCTTTCTTTTCAGTGCTGGGTATGGAACCCAGGGCCTCACACATGGGAAGCGAGCACTCTACCATTGAGCTTCACTTCCAGTCCAACATTCTTGAGTATAAATAATTCAGTAAGATACTGGAATTTGTATTTTTACACCTTTATATTGTTCTTATAGAAATATTTTACCTTAAAGTGTTAGTTTGTTCTGATGAAGACTTACATCCAGTCCAAGAAATTAAATCAAAATGTAACATAGGGTTGGGGAAATGGCTCAGTAGAAGAAGCATTGCTTGGCAAGTGCAAGGTCCTGAGTTCAATCCCTGGTACTGCCAAAACAACAACAACAAAACCAACATGGTAGCAGCTATCCAGAAGGAACATATCTAGCCATCTATCAAGAACTGGTTTAAAAAACGGTAAACCTGCCTTCGAGAAAGTCTCCCCTCCCTTCTTTTTTGTCTTTTTAAGACAAGGTCTCACTGTGTACTTCAGGCCGACCTTGAGCTCACTTTGTAGCCCAGGCTAGTCTTGAACTCATAACAATTCTGCCTCACCCCCCAGGTGCTGGGATGATAGGAATGCGCCACCACACATGGCTAGAAAGCCCTTTAAAAGGGGGATTCTCATACATTGTTGGTGGTATGGTAAATTAGTACAGCCATTTAAGAAAACAATGTAGAGGTTTCTTTAAAAATTGAAAGTATAATTATGATAAGCAGTCCCACTTTCTGGGTACATATCTCAAGGGAATTGAAGTCCATGTGTTGCAGAGTTGTCTACACTGCCACCTTCATTGCAGTCTTAATTTACAGTAGCTAAGACATAGAAACAACTATCAAGTGGAAAATGGAAATTATTTTCACTGTGGTATATATACGTAATAGAATACATTCAGTCTTTAAAAATGAAACATCTATTTGCCACAACATGGATGAACCTGGAGAACACTATGCTAAATGAAATAAGCCAGGCACAGAGAGAAATCTTGTATGAACTCTCTTAACACATGGATCCAGAACAACTGAAGTTACAGAAGGAAATGATAAATATTTGAGGCGATAGATATGTTACTTAGCCTGATTTGTTCAATCTATAATATTTGCATATAAGGAAATGTATCATACTGTACTAGAATAAGTGTATATGGTTATTTGTCTATTAAAAATAAAATGGCTGGGGCCAGGGAGATGGCTCAGTAGAATAAGCACTTCCCTGGCAAGTGGAAGGGCCTGAGTTCAATCCCTGGTTCTGCCAAAAAAAAAAAAAAAGTGTAGTGGCATAAACCTATAATCCCAGCACTTGAGAGGCTGAGGCAGGGGGATGGGTATGAGTTCAAGGGCAGCTTGGGCTACATAGTGAGAACCTATTTCAAAAAACAAAAATACGCCTGTAATCCCAGCTCTTGGGAGGCTGTAAACAGGTGGATCGCTACGAGTCTGATTTAGTAGTGAGACCCTGAACACACTGTAGACCCTTCCCTAAAAAAAAAAAATACAAAGCCCAAAAAGCAAAGTAAAGTGGATGGACAGGAACTCCATGTATGGTGAATCTTGCAAGTAGTACTGAGCAAGAAAGAAAATTTTAAAAGCTTAATTCATTTTATTTATTTATTTATTTATTTATTTATTATTATTTTGGTGGAACCAGGGATTGAACTCAGGCTCTTGTGCTTGCCAAGCAAGTGTTTAATTCTACTGAGCTACCTCCCCGCCCCCAAACTTAATTCATTTAATACCCTGAATTCTACTTTGTCTTCAAGCCTTTCTTTACTCGAAAGTTTGAAGCAGATTTTCATTAGAGCATGACAAATTGATGTGCGAGGATTAACCAGCTGTTGCTATATTAATAAATACAAGTACCAAAACAATGATGAGCCGAGCCAGGCTTTCCCTGTGTCCACAGTGCCTACCACTGTCCCTGATAATTTGGCTTCTGATAACTTAGGCTCATAACATGCTCAAAAGCTAAGGAGGAATTCTGCAATGGGCATTCTCAGAAACATGTACCTCTTACTGGTCACTAAATCAGCTTTCAGAGTGAGCAATCCATCACACTTCACTTAGCACAGAAATGTTTTTCAGCTCTTACTTCAAATCTCATCAAGAGGGGTTTACAGCCTCAAGTGCTGATTTTATTCTTAAATGAGAAAGTTACCATGAGATGAGAATGTGTGCCATGCACTTGCCATTGTCCTCTGAAAGGACATGGCATGGGTTAAGACCTAATGAAGTGGCTGGGGAGATAGCCTGGGGTTTGTGTGCCTGTCTAGCAAATGTAAGGAACCCCAGTTTGATCCCCAGTATGGCATGCTGTGCTAACCGGGTGTGGTGGTGCACCCTGTGCCAAATAAAGATTTTTTAAAAAGGGGGAGGGGCAGGATATACCTCAGTGGCATAAGTGCCTCCCAGGCAAGTGCAAGGTCCAGAGTTCAATCCCTGGTACTGTAAAAAAAAAAAAAAAAACAACCAAAAACCAAAAAACCCAACCTAATGAATACTGGCAGACTTCTTTGACACATTATTTTCCAGGATTAAAACAACCGAAGGTAATATACTGTTGAGTTTAAAACTAATTTTTTTGTTTTGTTTTGCCTAACTTAAATCTTTTGATAGTCTTTTAGAAAGACTTTAAAAATGTAAATTACTTCTGCAAATAGTTACTGAATTCATGTTTCAATTTTATTCTGAAAATATACATTTACAGAAGGATTTTTTGAGGACATGAAATGCAAATCAGTTTTATTCAGCAGCATACAAGAAGTAACTGTACATACTTTCAACACTTAATGACAAATGAGATTTCTGTTCCAATATCAAAAATTTACAAAATACTTGCAGAATGCTGTCAAAATCCATGATCTTCACTGAGTAATACTGCAAAGATGGAAACCAAGTCCAACTTAAAAATGAAGCAGATTGTACAGCAGTTAACCACTAAGAAGAATATATGCAGTGTATTATTTGTTGAAAAGTAAAAAAAATGAAGCAGAATATTTAAATGAAATAATGTTTAATAACATGTAAATTTTTATGATAAAAGTTTCTAACATGACAGCAATATTTAATCTCTTCATTGTTTCTGATCTTTTAATGCATTCAAAGTCTGTTAACTGCAAAAAATAATACCTAGTGAATACTTCATTTCATATGACATGAACTATATACTTTGAAATAAAATTGTCTTCCTGTCTTGCCCCGCCCCGTCCCGCCCCGCCCCATTTCCTTGCACTTGCCAGGGAAACGCTTATTCCACTGAGCCATCTTCTCAGCCTCCCAAATTTAATCTTTGGCATGTGCATAGCCAGTTTTTCTAGCACCATTTATTAAAGAGGCTGTCTTTCTTCCAGCGAATGTTTGGCAAATTTATTAAGGACATGGTAGCTGAGTGTGTCTGGAGTTGTTTTTGCATCTTCTAATCTGTTTCATTGATCTTTGAGTTTGTATTTTTTACCAGTTCCATACTGTTTTTTATCACTGTAGCTTTAATATAATTTCAAGTCAGATTGTGATGCCCCCTGCCTTGCCTTTGTTGCAAAAATTGACTTTTCTATCCTAAGTCTCTTCTAATTCCAAGTGAATTTTAGGATTTTCTATAATTCTGTGAGACATGCTATTAGAATTTTGAGTGGAATTGTATTAAATGTGCATAAAACTTGTGGAAGTCCATCCATTTTCACTATATTGGCCCTTCCTACCCACAACTAAGAGATATTTTCCCATTTTCTGATATCCTCTTCAATCTCCTTTTTCAGAGTCCTGTAGTTTTCAATGTAGAGGTCTTTTACTTTCTTCATTAGATTGATTCCTACATATCTCAATTTTTGGATTCTATTGTGAAAGGTGTTGTTGAAGTGGTAAGAATTATTTCCACATCACACTGAAAATTAGGAAAAAACATTTTATTAATAAAGCCAGCCATTGGACCCTTCCTGGGTCACAGATCTTAAATACCCAGCTGGTGTGTGAATGCACTTCCCCATCCTTGCAGAGCAGAAGAACTTCTGGCCTTGTTCCCTGTTTTGTCACTGCTTAAACACTTGAAACATTTTACCAAGAGTGGAAGGATTGAAGGAGTGACAACATCTTAACAAGGATGGGGAAGGAGTGAAGGAGTGACAACATCTTAACAAGGGTGGGGAAGGAGTGGAGTGACAATATCTTCACAAGAGTGGGTAGGCTAAACTTGAGCTTCTTTTGCTAAGATAAAATTAACACAATTGAGAGAGCTGCCACCCCCTACATAGAGGTATATTTTTATAACAAATTACTCATTCACAGCCAATCATTGTAGCTGAGCCTAAGCCAGTAATGGGTGACCAACTGATCAGACCAACTTCAGGTGAGGCAAACATGGAGTTGTAATTAATTGAAACTCGGTTCCATTTCTGTCTATCAAGACTATCTGCCGATGGTGAATACTGTAAGTACTACTTTCAAAATTCTCTGAATATGTTCTGGCTTGAAGGGCTGCC